AATACTTTTCTTTAAACCCTTCTTTTTCACCATGACTGTTAAAGAACTTGAAAGTCTGTCTGGTCAACTGGCTGACCATCAAACCAAAACTGAGGAAAACCAACAAACAACAAACTTCCAACCTTACCCATCTTACCGTTCTTATTGACACCCTCTCCACTACAGTCAACAGCCTCTCCACTAAAGTAGACAATCTCACTAAGTACATAACCAAACACGAACCCTAGAAAAAGAAAAAGTTGATCCGGTGTCTATTGTCACCAATAGTTCTAGTTTGTTACCCACTCCACCTGATTCACAAAACATAAGCACATCCAACACTTCTCATCCAATTGATGCTTATAATGACGTTCAAGACACCACTACACATCCTTCTCCATCTCGTCCAACACAGCCCCCTAGGCACATCCAACATCAAGGTCGACAACCTCACTATCAATATGATGCTCCCTAACACAACCACATAGATGATCCTTCTAGGAAAATCAAGTTGGATGCTACAGAATTTGATGGTAGGTTAGATTCCACTGTTTTTTTAGATTGGTTGGATAAGATGGATAAGTATTTTGATTGGTACCACATGAATGATGATCAACGCCTTAGTATGGCTAGGATTAAGTTAGTGGGTAGTGCCAAATGTTTTTGGAAAACAGTCATGCGAGATGTTGAGCTTAGAGGTCGTGCACAAGTTTTGTCGTGGGATGACATGAGATATATTTTGTGACACAAGTATGTCCCGCTGTACTACATGAGTGATCTTTTGTCCCAGTTCCAAAATCTGAGACAAAATACTTCCACTGTTCATGACTATATGTCAAAGTTTGAAGATTTACTGTGACGATGTCAAGTTGATGAAGATCAACGAGTTCTAGTTACTAGGTTCGCAAATGGTTTAAGAGCTGACATTAGGCATAAAGTTCAAGTCCACAATCTTTTTGACATAGACTCCGCTTATCAAAAAGCCTTAGATTATGATAAGTACCCTTGCTATGTTCTTAGGCGTCCTTCATCCACTATGGATACCCGTCTCAACCACCCTTCCACTCTTCCTTCGCCTAACCCTAATACCCAGCCTTCTAGGAGTGACAATTCGTGTCACGTGTCGTATTTTGATCGTTTCTTTCTAAATTTACAGTCAACCCGAACACGACCCGTGACACGAATTTTTTTTAAAACCGCAACACGAACACGACCCGACCACTTTACGGGTTGACACGACACGATACGAAAATGACCTGTGACACAAAATTGACCCGTGAACCCGAAATTGACACGAAAATTGTATACTTTTATTTAGTTTTTTACATATTAGAAATAACTTAAAATTCATAACACACTAAAATACAATAACATCCATTGAAATTAAGCAAATAATAGTATAAGATGTTGAGTATAACTATCATGATATCACAAGTTCATAATAAAATCAAAAATATGTAATGAAAAATATATGTATTTTTCAGTTTTTTACGAGTTTCGTGTCGTATTCGGGTTAGGCGGGTCCAACCCGAAATTGACCTGTGTTTTTCGTGACAATTTTAGGTCGACCCAATTCTGACCCGAACCTCTTTTTTCTCAACCCTAACCCGCGAAATTCGTGTCGTTTTCGAGTCGTGTTGTCGTGTCGTGACCCATATTGCCGGCCCTACAGCCTTCCACCAAACCGCCACCATCAGGGTCTAGTGCTCCATCCACTAATATGGTTAAGAACACACCTGCTACTGCCTCTAGCTCTCGCACTTTTTCCTCCCAAATTGAGTGTCACCATTGTCATGCTAAAGGTCACATAGGCGTCCTTCATCCACTATGGATACCCGTCCCAACCGCCCTTCCACTCTTCCTTCGCCTAACCCTAATACCCAGCCTTCCACCAAACTGCTACCATCAGGGTCTAGTGCTCCATCCACTAATCTGGTTAAGAACACACCTGCTACTGCCTCTAGCTCTCGCACTTTTTCCTCCCAAATTGAGTGTTACCATTGTCATGCTAAAGGTCACATAGCCAGTCGTTGTCCAAACCGTACTCTAGTTCTTGACCATGAGGATGAACCCCCATTAGAGGATGATAATAACCTTTTCATAGTTGACCACGTAGAGCCTGATTATGAGGACCCTACTGTTATATGAGGATGAATTCCCACTTGATGAAGAGTACTTCTCTGTCATGAGATGCATTTTGTCCACTCCTGCTAATGTAATTCTTGGAAACGCACTAGCATTTTTCACACTTTCGTTCCTATTGCATTTTGGCCACTCCTGCTAATGTAATTCTTGGAAACGCACTAGCATTTTTCACACTTTCGTTCCTATTAATGGGAAAACGTGTAAGCTAGTCATAGAGGGGGTAGTTCTATAAATGTGATTTCTAAGTCTGATGTTGAAAATTTTGGTCTTAAGTCAGAACAACATTCTCGTCCGTTTCAGGTAGCCTGGGTAAATAAGACTTCTTCACCCGTTAAAGAACATTGTCTAGTCACACTTAAGCTTGGACCATACTCTGAAAATATATAGTGTGAAGGTTACCTATGAATGTGTCCTGCCTTCCTTTAGGTTGCCCTTTGGTTATATGATAATGCTGTGAAACATTGCGGCTGTAGTAATACCTACAGGTTCACGTGTGGTAAGAAGACCATTTTGTTGAGACCTGTTAAGCCTGTTTCTCAACCCCGTCTTGTTCCTAACACATCCTCTAAGTCGCCTGCAATCCAAAAACTCCAAATTTTGACCCATAAGTCTTTTGAGAAGGAAAGTGTTGAGTCTGGGTTTGTTTTTGCCCTTGTAGCCACAGATAGTTTCATCATGTCTTCTGAGTCCACTTTAGATCATCCTCCCTATGTCTGTCGTTTGTTAGAAGAGTTTAAGGATACCATGACCGACGACTTACTTGATGAGTTACCACCCCTTAAAGATATTCAACATGCTATAGACTTAGTTCCAGGATCTCAATTGCCCAACCTTCATCATTATAGGATGAATCTTATAGAGAGAACTGAGTTAAATAGACAGATTGAAAGCCTTCTTAAGAAAGGTTTTGTTCGTCATAGCCTTAGTCCTTGCGCAGTTCTTGTTCTGTTAATCCCTAGAAAGGATGGATCTTGGAGAATGTGTGTAGATAGTTGCGCTATTAACAAAATCACTGTCAAGTATAGGTTTCCTATTCCACAACTTGATGTGTTAGATGAGCTCGCTAGAGCTAAATGGTTTTCTAAGATTGATCTGCGTAGTGGATACCATCAGATTAGGAATCGCCTTGGAGATGAATGGAAAACTACTTTTAGACTCAAGATGGACTTTATGAATGGTTAGTCATGCCTTTTGGAATGTCCAATGCCCCTAGTACTGATGCTTCTCATGTTGCTAAGTTATTCTTTAAGGAGATTGTTAGGCTACATGGCCTTCCAACAACCATTGTGTCTGATAGGGATGTGAAGTTTGTTAGTTATTTTTGGAAGACTCTCTGGTAATTGTTTGGGACTACTTTTAAGTATTCTTCTGCTTTTCACCCACAAACTGATGGTCAAACTGAAGTCGTTAACTGTAGTATAGGTGATTTGCTTCGATGCCTAGTTGGAGAAGAACCTGGGAATTGAAATCTAATTTTGCCACAAGCTGAATTTGCCTAAAATAACTCTGTCAATAGATCCATAGGTAAAAGTCCTTTTGAGATTGTCTATGGCCTCCTCCCATGCCAACCTGTTGACCTTATTCCTTTGCCTACTCATTACCCTCATTCTGATTATGCCCAAGCTTTTGTTGATCACATCCATAATTTGCATACTGAGATTAGACGAAAAATTATTTTGAGTAATGATAAATATAAACTTGCTGCTAACACACATCGTAGGCATAAAGAATTTAATGAAGGTGATTATGTCATGGTTCGCATTAATCCTGAGCGTTATCCAAAACATGCTGAATGATAAATATAAACTTGCTGCTAACACACATCGTAGGCATAAAGAATTTAATGAAGGTGATTATGTCATGGTTCGCATTAATCCTGAGCGTTATCCAAAACATGCTGTTAAAAAGTTACATGCCCGAACTATTGGCCCTTTTCCTATCCTTCGTAGGCCTGGATCTAATGCTTATTTAATTGATTTGCCATCAAATATGTCTATTAGTCTAGTTTTCAATGTTGCAGATTTGTTCCCTTACCGAGACACTTTTGAGCCTCCAGTTTTGCCTTCTTCTGATTCTGTAGGTACATCTTCCGCATAGGTTCCTCATGCTCTTCTTGCTCCTTTAGATCCGCCTGAGGTTATTCTTGATGTTCTTGACAATGAGTTTGTTACTTCACCTGCCGGTGGTTTTCGTCCTTTCTTTGTTCGTTAGAAAGATCGTCCTTCGACTGATGATACTTGGATAACTGAAGAAGAGTTTTGTCAACTTGCTCCTGACCTCTTGAACAGCTACTTGCAATCTAACTTGTCGGAGTCGAGTTCTATTCAACGGGGGGAAATGATGGAGATCATAATACTAGTTTCCGTTATTATGTCATGCGCAAATATAGAAACTAGGATATTATTTTATTTTCTTTCTTTTATTATATTAAGTTTTTGGTAACTATAATATTTCTTAAGTTAGTTTCCTACTGTCTTTTGTTTCCTGGTTGTACTTGGTTTCTTACTTGCGATTAGTTTTCCTAGTAGTGTTTGAATTGCCTATCTATAAATAGGCCTAGTATTGTTCATTGTTTTTCAGAACTTATTGATTGATAATACAGATATTCAGTTTTCCTCTCTCTCAAGTTCTTCTCTTTCTCTCTCTAAATTCTCCTCTTCTTCTACCTTTCTTCTTCCTTTTCTTCTTCTTTTTCAGAACTTATTGATTGATAATACAGATATTCAGTTTTCCTCTCTCTCAAGTTCTTCTCTTTCTCTCTCTAAATTCTCCTCTTCTTCTTCTCTCTTTTTACCCTACTCAGTCCTACATCAAATAATACCGAGACGAAGACTAAAATTGGGAGGAGAAAAGATTAACAAACAAACAGAACATACGGGCAGCGTTGTCAGTAGGCAATCCACATAAGTCGCTTCAGTTAGTAACCTCAGAGGCTCAGCATCAAGGATATTGGATTTGAGATTAACAATTGGAACTGAACAATCCTGTTCAATAGCTGCTAATTCTTCAGAAGCCTCGTCCTCAGTAGCAACGTGGGTGCACTGTGTATCGGTGTTGGTAATTGAACAGCTTGAGATAAAAGCATCAAATCTGGTGCACAGAGAAGGGAAAAGCAAAATTCAAATTAGTTAGTTGACTAAAGTTAAACACAGTTACAAGTATTTTGATATTCAATTAATCGAATTTAATTTTTTCGCCTTTTAGTTGTTGAGGCGATTGGAGCTTAAATATTTTATGTGACGTGTGTGTTTTTATTTATATGGTAAAATTTGTGGGCTGAAAATGAAGAACCTAACTCAATCAAGCAAATACTGCTAACAAACAGCAGATATTCTCACGGGAGTAGTCATAAGTTAGAAGATAGTTGTACCAAAGCCAGTCCAATTGAGGTCCCAATGATAATAAACAACCAAGATTCATAGTCTCCTCCGTTTGGTGTCGGAGAAGACAAAGTACAACATAAGGAAAATTTATTTAAGCTTTAAAAGAACTCAAAAGGCAAAAACAAATACAATGGAATCTAAATCCTGCTCTGCAAAATCAGCCACTTCTGCTCCGCAGGCCATTATATAACTCCCGACAGAAGATTAAGGAATGTAAAATTTATGGGGGGAAAATAAACTGATAATTGAATTTTGCACAATCAGGACACTACGAAAACTAAGGAAATGAAATTTGGTAGGCTTCTAATTTTTCCACCGAATGAACATAATTCAACTCGACTAATCAAAGTAATTCGTCGGATTTTTTTTTTTTTCAAAGAAGGCCCAACACTGAAGAATCTTGAAATTTCCAATTTTTTCATTTTCCACAATCTCTTAAAAGCAAACAGAACATACTGCAATGTAACCTTCGGCGAGGGAAAAAATTTGCTACTTTTTTATGATTTTTCCACCAAAAGAACAGAATTTAAGAACACTGAACACAGAGAGAGAAGAAGAAGAATCCAAAAAAAATCCAAAAATTATTTCTCATTTTCTCCCAATTTCCTAGCAATCAAACAGAGTTAAAAATAAAAATAAAAAACCAACAACAACAATTAACAAATTAATCAATCAATCAATTCTTCTCATTTCTCCCAATCTCCAGGCAATCAAACAGAGCAAAGAAACCGAAAAAAGTACAAAATTAACTAATCAATTAATTAAAAAAACGCGACGTACCGATGAGAAGCAAGAGAAAGGCGATTGGAACTCAACCATCGAAGAGAAGCGAAGCGATAGCGAACTCGAGAAGAATACCGCGGCCCTGGAAAAACCGAAGCTTTCTCAGCGGAGAAACCGAGAGAAACCGACTGCGAAAGAGGGACCGTACATCCACAACCCATAGCTGCCATAGCCATTGCTTCAAGCTCCAAAACTTGAAGAAGAAGAACCCGCGAGGTTCTAAGCCACTCATGCAGCCTCCGACGCTTGTGATCAGCTAAAGCTTCCTAGATTCAGCGCTCATCACAGGAAATGAGACGAGAATTTCGGCAATGGCGGATTAGGTTATGTGATTTTTAATTTTGATTTTATTACAGGTGAGGAAGTTGAGAGAAAGCCTTTGCCTTATCTTTGTGAGTTTTCTGAGTTGGCCGTTGCAGGCGGGACTATTAAAAGAGTATTTGTTCGTTCTAGCACTGGTGGGGTGCGTTTGGGCGCACGCGAACTTATCGTGTGGCTATTAAGGACTTGTTCTTTTAGAGTTTAACTTAAGTATAATTTTTGAGTTAAATTTGAGTTATAACTTGAGTTAAACTTATAACTTGAGTTTGTGTTTAGTTGTGAACATTTGAGTTATAGTTTAAGATAAGAATCTTTTTGAGTTTGTGTTTGAGTGAGTCAAAACTTGAATTTGTATTTAGATAGTATTTTAATAAAAACTCAATGCTGATGAAAAATTTTAATATGGTATATGGGTCGGGTTTTATTCGTCTTTTCGTTGTCAACGTATAGAAAAAAAAATCATCTCAATCAGAATTAAAACGAAAAAGTTATAGCATTTTTAAGAATAAAAAAAATATTATTCATTAATTTGAGTCCGAGTTTCTGAACTCGAGTTGAAGGGGAAACTTGAACTCGAGTTGAAGGGAAAACTTGAACTCGAGTTTTAGTCATAAATTCGAGTTTGAACTCGATTTTAAACTCGAGTTTAAACTTAAAAAGAACATGAACTCGAATAAAGTTGTAACTCGAGGTGCATTTTTTTGAGTTTTTCACTCAAAAGAACAAGCCCTAAGTTTTGGTGACGTGGATTTTACTTCGAATTGGGCCTTGATAGTTGGACTATTTTGTGAGGTGCTTTGCTGCTCCAAGAGATTTCACAAAAAAATTGGCTCCTTTTTTTTTTGAAAAAAAATTGAGGCTTCTCTAATTATAAATAATCTAAAGGAGAGCTCGGGGGTACTGTTCACGCAGGTCCATTTTGATGTTCCTTCTACAGTGAAGTGACGATTTTGCCCTTTTCTCCTTTATTTTCCTTCACTCTGCTGGGGGTTGTTTCGTCTATTTGCCACTTGCGCGCTGCTTTCGCGGTTTTGCCCCTGCTCTTCTTTCCTTCTTCGGTCTCTTGCCCTGGTGTGTTTGGTCTTTTCCTGGTTGGTGTAACCCTAAGTGTTCTTTCCTCTCTCGATCGTCTCTCTCTTGCCCTTCTTCGATCTCTTGCCCTGGTGTGTTTGGTCTTTTTCCGGTTGGTGTAGCCCTAAGTGTTCTTTCCTCTCTCGATCGTCTCTCTCTTGCCCTCTTTCGGTGGCTGCCGTAGATCCCTCCTTCGATCATCTTTTGCCCCTTTGATCTTCTTTCCCTTGCCCTCTTTCACTGGTGGTTTGTGGGCGAAGCTTTGGGATTTTATCGTTGCCTTCTCCGTCCTGCTTGGGCATTTTTTATTGCGGTTTTGGTGGGATTTTTTACTGTGATTTTGCTGGATCGGTGTTTGATTCATGCGGGTGTTGGCCTGGGCCTGTTGGGTTTTCCTAGATTGCTTCTGTGCCCCTTCGATCTTCTTTCCCTTGCCCTTTTTGGCTAGCGGTTTGATTTCCTTTGCCTTTCTCCTTTGATTTGGGGGAAGCCTTGGGATTTTATCATTGCTTTCTCAAACCTGTTTGGGCATTTTTCTTTGCGGTTTTGGTGCAATTTTCTACTGTGATTTTGCTGGATCAGTCTTTGATTCATGAGGGTGTTGGCGCGATCCTGTTGGGTTTTGCTCGGCTGCCTCTATGCTTGTTTGATTTATGGTTTTGGGTATTTTTGTCCGACTTTGGTTCATTGCATGTTCAGTCATTTTTTGTCCTTGTCCTTTTCCTTTGATTTTGGAGGAAATTTTGGGATTTCATCCCTTCTTCCTTCGACATTGTTCTGCCATTTTCATTTGTGGCTTGCTTTTGTGCCTCATTTGTTCTGATTTTTTTTTAATGCTCACTGAAGTTGGATTTGGGTTTTGGTGCAGGCCTCTTCAGTTCTCCTAGATTGCTTCTAGGCTTGCTTCATTCGTGGTTTTGGTTTGGGTTTTTATTTATTCTTGAGTGACTAGACGCTTGGTCTATTTTTTCTTCTTTTTTTCCCCTGGTTTTAATGTTTACTTACATTATTCTCTTCATTATTTGCTTTTGTGCTCCATCTATTTGGATTTGTTTTGTGTTTTTTGAGATTATTCTGCCATTTTTATTTGTGGCTTGGTTTTGTGTCTCATTTGTTCTAATTTTTTTCAATGCTCATTAAAGTTTGATTTGGGTTTTGGCGTAGGTCTCTTTGGTTTTCCTGGACTGCTTCTAGGCTCGCTTCATTCACGGTTTTGGCTTGAGTTTTTATCTGTTTTTGAGTGACTAGATGTTCGGCCCCTTCTTTCTTTCTTTCTTTCTTTCTTTCTTTTTGCCTGCTTTTATTGTTTAGTTACGTTATTCTCTTTGCTATTTGTTTTTGTGCTTCATCTGTTTGGATGTGTTTTGTGTTTCTTAAGCCTGAAACCAATTTCTAATTAGCTGGCATGTACGGTACGTGAGAAATTCCTTTACAACTGTTTATTATTCTCCTTGATTGGTCTTTTTGTTCACAAAAGACTTCTTATATGCGTTGTTCTATATTGTTTCCGGTTAATCTTGATTTTGTTTGTATGTATTTATTGAGGTGATGATTTGTGGACTCTATGGTGCTGACTTGTCTTGCCACGTTGATGACTTATGCTCACTTTGCTGCAGAGGTATTTAATGAATCCTTGATTTTTTTTTTATTTTCTGGAACATGTAAAGAATTTAGCCAATGTGGGTAATTGTTATATTTATATTTTAAATACGTGTCTTACCTCTTTTCGGTACTTATGCTCACTCTACTGTAGAGGTATTTAATGAATCTTTGATTTTTTTTTATTTTCTGAAACGTGTAAAGAATTTAGCCAACAAATGTGGGTAATTGTTATATTTATATTTTAAATACGTGTCTTACTTCTTTTCTGTATTGCCATCAATGTATTGCTTTTTATTATTTAATCTGGAAACTTCTAGTTTTTACCTCACCGACTTTGGGCCCTTATGTGAGATTTTGTTATGGGCTGCTCATTAGTTTTCTCTCTGTCTATTTAAGAATGTGTATGCACATGAATTTATCATGCATTCTCCTATTTCTTTCCCTTCCATACCCTGTTTTTGCTTTCTTATTTCACTTTCAATCATTTACTATCTTTTGGTCACATTTGGTTGACTGATATTTCAGACTAAACACAGTATTTGTAGCGTTCGAGGTACTCCTGAGACTTCTTATCCATAGCTTGCTCATTTACGTTGTTGATATTGAATGCACTGGTTTGTTGTGGGCCTATTAATGTCTGCGGTTTGTCTTTTATTACCTGTCCTTTTTTTTCCTCTGTATTTGCTTAGCGTATCATATCTACGTGTTCACTTGCTACTTTCTTATCTGTCTTGGTTTTCCTCTGTGACTTCCTTACTTATTTCTTACTTACATGTGTGTGCATGTCCCCATATATATATATATATATATATATATTCCCATTTTTACTTATCCTAGCTTTAGTAAATTTTTTTGTGTGGCGATGATGATCGTAGTTTGTCTTTATGTGTTGACTTTTGCGTAATTTGTCCAAAGATTACTGTGAATGTGTCGTCTTTGTTTGGATCATGGTTTTATCTGTTATTTTTCGTCTAGATTTTTTACTCCTTTGTGTGTTATCACCTCTACTTATTCCAGGGCCTTTGCCTCTCCGTATTGACTATTTTATTGAAAACCTCTTTATAGGTGTCTTCACTTTTTTATTTCACGCTAAACTTTAGCTCCACCATCCTGTTTTTACTGTTTCATAGGGAAAAAAATTATTGGACAAAAAGACAAATATTGTGTTGTCTCATTTTTATCCTCTCATAACATTCTTCATCATTTTCTTATTACTATATCTCTTTGTCCTTAGTCTTCTTCTTTTACCTGTTTCCTTTACTCATTTACAGTCCTTATTCCTCTGTTGGTGTTGTTCTTTTTTCCCTCTCTTTCAATTCACCTGGTAGCCTTTTATTTTTGGTCTAGATTTTTAACTCCTTTATGTATTGTTACCTTTACTTATTCCAGGGCATTTGCCTTTTCCATATTGACTGTTTTATTGAAAATCTCTTTATAGGTGTCTTCACCTTTTTCTTTCAAGCTGAATTTCAGTTTTGCCATCATGTTTTTACTGTTTCATACAAAAAAAAAAAAAAAAAAAAAAAAAAAAAAGGAAAAAAAAAAAAAATTTATAAAAAAAAAAAAAAAAAAAAAAAAAACTAATGGGAAAAGAGACAAATATTCTATTGTCTTATTTTTATCCTCTCATAACGTTCTTCATTATCTTCTTATTACTGTGTTTCTTTCTCCTTAGTCTTCTTCTCTCAACCGTTTCCTTTACTTTTTCTTAGCATAAATTACAGACCTTATTGCTCTATTGGTGTTGTTGTTTTCCACCTCTCTTTCAATTCACCCGATAGTCTTTGGACAACTTTATGTATTAGTCCATTTTTTTATTTTGTGTCGCATGTGTCCTACAATCTGTGCGATGAATATGATATCCTGCCTCTTTGTGCACTTGTCCTTAGCAAGTTGCCAGAATCTATTTATCATACATTGCTGGGAACATACTATACCTAAGCTGTAATTACTATCTAAAAACATTGTTATGCCTGCATCCACTACTTTTTTAGGCTCTTTTTCCTCTATTTGTTTATTCATTTACTTGGTTACTTCTCTTTTTCCAGGTTTGGTCCTGTTTGTTCTACCATCCTATCACCTATATATCATTGGCTCCTGTTCACACCCAGTTGGTTCGTATTTGGTGTTTCAGAGAGGATTTATAGCGTTTGAGGTATTGTTAATAGTCTCCCCTATCACTTTCTAATTTTGGTTGCTTACACTAGATGCATCGATTGCTTGGATTAAAGTTGTTTCTAATGCTAATTAGTTATGTAGAGTATGATGGCTTTAGAATGCTAATCTGATATGTTGAACCTAGGTTATTAGTCCCTTCCCATTCGACTATCACTACAAATTGTTTGGAACACTACTTG